AAGCCAGAAACAGGTATACTTATTCGTAAGAAATCTAACCGTACGTTCTCATTGTACAAATGCGAGAGGATTGAGAACATAATACGGAGTACAGAAAATGTAAATAAGGATGCTTCCGGGAAGGACGGGCTCCGAAGGAGGGTGGGCTAAGTCTTAAGAGCAAACAAAAGGTCTGGAAAGGGGTCTTTGCCTTATATCTCGGCCTTCCAATAGATACAACCCTGGGCCAACATCATATTTCTCAGAATTCAGATTTTCGAGGCATGCCTGAGGCAAATCCAGGCGCATCCCCTTCACATAGCACGTGGCTTCCTTTAAAAGACGTTTGTGTAGATGGTAAGACAAATAAAACTTTTCCAGATGGGAGGTAGAAGATAAACACAGTACTTATATTTGTTCGTATCTCGCGTAATATTCATTCTTAAAAAGAATTATTGTAAATTTTTTAATGATAGGAAAATAATTACATTTATTAAAAGAATTGCTTTATAGGGCTCAGATTAGACAATAACATTTAAGTTTTTCACATGTGTAATTCTCTGCAATAAAATGTAAATTGAAAAAACAATTATGTGCGGGGAGCAACTGAACACATCAGAGTATAATTTGAAAAAACTGAAATCAAATCAAATGAATCGCTGAATAATGTATAATTTTAGTTTTCAATGCAAAAGTAAAAAACAAAACTAAGATCTTGGAACAGATGATTCCAAAAAATTAAAGCTCACGGACATAACAATTATTGATGTAAATTTCAATGAATTTTATACATCAACGAAGAGCATTTTTCATCCGGAAAATATATTTTTTCATAATGGAAATAAAACGATAAAACGGTTTATGTTATAGTCGTGGTTTTCCTGGGTATTTTAATTTTTTATTTACTTGTTTTTGGTTAAATTAGCTATACGTATTCATTCAAAGATCAAAAAACATTGCCTGGCAAACATAATCCTACTTGTAGGATTCACCAAATGCGATAATCAAACTAATATAATGGCATTAAAAACGAATATAATGTTTCTCTGATGAATCGATACCTACGTTGAAAAAAAGCTTTCCAGTACCCTAGAGCTCTACATTTAACAGTTTAAATTGCGAATTTATACCCCAACGTTTTTAAATTAGAAACAAATTCTGACGTTTTTTAAATGTATGTACGGTAACCGCAACAGAACGAAGTTTCTGGTTGGACTTCTGAATGCTCCTAGGTGCTTTCGCCCTATAAAGGCAAATGTACCCGATAGGAGTGAATACAGAAGAAACACTATGCAGATTTTGTCAGGAAGATGAGAAGACAGTAGAACACGTTATATTTTGCGAAGGACTTTGTAGGTGAAAATTCTTGCAACTGAGAGAAAACGCCCCTATACATTAAAGAGCCGCTGGCAAGGCTATCGAGGTTGATTACAACCTGAAACTGGCCAGCGAGCCTAATAGAGGAAATAGATGTAAAAATAGATGTACTCAGATTAAGATGAGAAGGTCTTATGGGCGCCTCTTTTATCCTTAGCACTATACTGAAAACAAAAAATTACCTATTTTCCGGATAACACCTCTTAGATACAGAGACTACGCGTTCAGATCTACACACCCAATAGAACCTAAATCTATATTTTAATGAAAAGGACCCCGCCCCGAGGAATATCGAGTACTCTGGGGTGAGTGTGTGATGTCTGGAGAGTAAAAGTAATTTATTAGCGTGAAAGGAAGGGGATGTTTATAACCTCCGAGGAATATCGAGTACTCTGGAGGAGTGAATGTGACCATCTACGTTTGTGGTGATGTATATATATATATATATATATATATTGTATGTTTTGTTTCTATTCTGTATTTGACAATCTGAGGTACAAACGAGAGACTAGCATAGGATATCAACGTAGTATATATTTGAAATCAGAGAACCAGTAACCAGATCGAGACGCTCAAATGGCTGCAGTTTAAAACAAAATACGCGGGAAAGAAGAGAAAAAGAAGAAAAATACGCAGAAGGCTGGCGATGATCTCAGCTGTTTATCGGCCCATAAACTTCCACGATATTTATTTATTTTTTACGAGGGTTCGCAATAGCAAAGGTTATATCAACCCTCGGGGGTGCCGGTGTTTTTGAAAAAAAAACAGCCCATTTGTAAGTATGTTGAGTTTGAATGCAGGGCCGCTGGATTCGAACCCGGACCTTTACCTTACAGTGATAAGCGCCGTGTCAACGCCTAAACCATTGCGGCCACCGATGTTCCCGTTATAATCCCGTTCCCACTTTATTATTATCATTAATGGAAAAGAAAACAATATTGCTATTTAGGATTATTTTATTGTTCCATGGCAATTTTGTGTTTTTCTTTCCATTTCGTATTTCAAGTACTGATTCGTATTTCAATAGTCTCCTGACTGGCAATTTTTACGGTGAGCATCTTGACTCATAATGTATAACAAACAATAAAAATTATTCTAGAACATGTGTTATAAATCTATTTGTCTTTTTGAAAATTCAGAGTAATTTTTAATCATTTATACAGTTTAAATATAAGGCAAATGGTGTTCTAACTTGTCATATAATTTGACCTCAGAGAGTAGTAAATAATTTAATTTTAAAATATGTGTATGTGTAAAAACGTCCCTTGGCACCGATAGTGTTATAAAATGTTGGTTCATTCATATCAGTCCTTGTATTCACATCCCATCCTTAGTTTATGAGCCCCACAGAGTTGGATTAATTTACTCTAATTACCCAACCGTTTAGGGGCTGGAGAGCAATTATGAATTACAATAAACATGCCGGCGAACCGCAGCTATATTAATTTTTCAGTAACGCATTAGCTGCGTGTATAAAACGAATTTCTGTTCATAAAATAAGGCAGACCCGCTTGCATGGTTTTCTCGTCCGGTACACCATACAGTTGGGTAATATTTGAACCAGGTCACGTACAGTGGAGGTGAGACATCAGTTTTCCTTTTATTATCGGTGTACTCCTCGTTCATTTACATAAAAAATATTCCTAGATTGATTTAGATTTTTCTTTCGAATAACACTTGAGAAATCATAAACTAATTGAACTGCTTTTATATTTTGCAGTTTAATTAATTTGAATATAAACATCATAGTAAAGGGTAGCATTTGTCCGATATTGAATGTAATGTTTAGCTTGTAAATAACACATCAGTTAATACTAATTTAATATCTCTCATTTTTTATTAATTATTTTGTCTCTCCAGCATTTATTCCCTCTTGAGAAAAAAATTTTCAATATAGTCACACACGTTTATAATAATTATATAAAACAAAAAGTGTTCAAAACTGAATGTATTCATCTTTGAAGTATTTGTTGATATGAAATGTATTCAAATATTTCTATTTATTATTTGTGCAATTCATAAAAAAAATAATAATAATAACATTTTTATAAACTGCCATTGCAAACATTTTAAAACAATGAATGGTTGTGTAAGTTAAAAGCTTAGTGCATTCAGTTGCACTGGAACGAATCATTGGATCATATACTCAAACTGCTATCCTTATATGTTTTTGAGTAATTTTAACTTAATTTGGTGGTAAAAATATTTTAAGTATAGAACAGTTACTCTCTGTAGGGTCAAACTGGAGAGAGATGACAAAGTTAAACGTGGTCTAACCCTGCCCAAATACCATCAAAAACTAGGAGCTATAAATGGCTTAATGCCGTGTTGATTCCAGGTTATATGGGAATTTCATGACATCCAACTTTAAAGGGAGCTTTGGAAAAATACATGCCGAATCTTGTATTACTAGAGAACAGATCAAATACTGCGAGCATATTACTTATTTTAGGTATGAGGTATCAAAAAACAAAAAAAACTATTAAAAAAACACCTTCGTTAGCTAACAAAAGGCCATGGTATCGTTGAAAGCTATCCCTGAGTAATGAAGTCTTCGACCGTCTTCCTACCCTGAGAACAATTCTATACTTTATTAAAAACAACAAAAATCTCACAGGAAAGGTATTAGCAAAGCTTAGACACAACTTTCAGTTCAAAACTGGGAAATCTCTATGATGCTTAGGGTTAAGATAAACCATAACATAATTAAGTATTTTTCAACCTTTAAAATATCTAAAGAGTTTCAATTTGTTCCTACTCAATATTTAAAATTTATTTTAATTTAAACTTTTATTAAATAAAAAAGATTAAATCGAAATAATCTAGGTAGAAGTAATGGATGTATTCAATTTTCGTTACTTAATTACATCATTTTTGATACAGTATTATAATAACGGCCAATGTTATAATTGAAAATAACCTTTTCATCTAAAAAATCTATTTTATTTTGTTCTTCAGTTCGTTAACCTCTCGTCGAGCTAATCGGCATAGACATTAATTAATTAATCCTTTTGAAAGGTCACAATTATCCTCTTGTAATATTAATTTATAATTATTTTCGTATTTTATTCAACCCCCGGCGATTTATCGAAAAATGACTAAAGGATGAATACGACCGATAATCCAATTATACGCAACAGACTGTTATATATTAAATGTGTGGACAGTTAATTGTACTTATTGAATAAATGCCATAAAACGAGCGTAATTTAAAAAAGGAAAATTTTTTTGAATACTTGACGAGGCGTATACGTTGTTCATTAATTTAATTGATGGACTTGGTGCTAAAAGTAAGCTATTTTGAAATTTGCCCTTCGAGAATTGCAAGAAGAAAAGTAATTTTAATATAATTCAAATTATACTTACGAGCCGATTTTTTTTGTCAGTTAATTGTAAATATATATTTTAGTCAATATTGTATTCATGATAAAGAGACGATGACTATATATATTGCCGATGCTTATCAATATTCAATCAATTCATAAATAAACAATCAGTACATAGTATTCAAGATTTTTATTTTAACTTTTAAATTGAATTAACTGTACAATCAATATGTTGTTGATATCGTTTATTTTATATTCTATATTTCATATAGGTAGTGGTTTGGTTAATTTAACAAAATAAATAATAATAGGACTTACGTAGTTGTCTTTTAAATCGGGATGATCCTTTTCTAAGCCGTCGTCTAAAATAGTGACTACGATTCCTTTTCCAGTAATGCCTTGTCGCCAGGCTCCCTCCACGCTCATGTCAAGACCTTGGCCTCGATTCTGTAAATCAAAGAAAAAAAAACATAATTTGAAAAATCAGAGGAGTAGACGGAAACAGTAGTTTGGGAGGGAAATTCGACTGAGTTACAAGACCACGAATTTACAACGAGCGGTTACTTTTTTCATTACCAGGGTTGGACCTGCATCTGAATAAATTATTGTTAATAATCGGCCTCTATAACCCTTTCGAGCGAATAGGTCATTTCGGGTTTTACTGCAGTTAACTATTTTAATTAAAACGAACCCCAGTCGGAGTAAAATTTCGGCCGGATATGTAGAGACAAACCAAAATTTTCGATTATTTTTTCTCGAAGTTTAGTAAGCAAAATTCTGCTTTATAGAGAAACTTAATAATAACTTACAAATATAAACTCTAAACAAAAAGCGAACAGTTAAGCTTATTAAAATAAAGTGTTAAACTTATTTCCTCGTAAATTATTTAACGATAAAACTACACGGCGTTTCGACGCCAATGAGTTATTGCTTGCAAAAAGGACCAGTTTATATATATATAACATTTTATAACTGCTGTAACGGCATGTTATAGGTTTGGGAATGTTGTGATGGTTCTAATCTTGACAAAGATGGTCGACCCTATCTTTGAAACATGTCCTAACTTGCGATGCAATGCAACTCTGGAGTCTGTTTTGTTAAGTCGAAATCTGTCTCATCTCCTATCCAAAACCCAATTGATGTATGTAATATTGACAAACTTATTTCAAAGCGGTTCCACTAATAAAAAGATTAAATAATATTCTAAATTTATATCCCTGTCAGTTTTAGTGATGGTAGCTATTGAAATAACATTGGTGCCTCTGAAAGTTTATCTCTTTACTCATATTTTCGCTAGTATTATTCCTTATTAGTACTTCAAGAGATTATTGATTTATCTATCTAAATTTTGCCTTAATAAAATTACAATGGAAACCCGGTTATCCGGACCCGTTTGTTAAAATATGTTTTATAAATTATTTGGAGATCGTGGGATGCGGTCTGGTATAGTAGTGTAGTCCCACGATCTCCAGATAATCATTAATTATCGTCACTAAACACCACCCATTTTTTTAAATAAATTTTTCATAATTCTCAATGAATGTATATTAATTTTTTACAATTCGTATTTCCACTATGGTACGTCGTTCGGAATTCGTAAATGCCACCAAATTCCCCTTCCACTAGACACACGATCGAAGAGGCCGGAGAGGACGACAGTGAGGTTTTTGTTTAAAAAAATATATAAAAAAATTAAATTTATAAAAAATAGTAAAAAAAGGTTAAGCTATTTTAAAAGACTAGAAATTTTTGTGCCGTGTTGTTTGTAGTGCGATTCCTTTGAAAACTTTTTTTTTTTTATTACTTATATTTTTATTAGGTATTTTTTCCGTATAAATTTTTCGAGAAACGCTTATCCGGACTTAAACAAAAATAAAACTAATAAAAACTGTTATTTTCAATGTAACCTGATAAACGAATAAAAATGTTCACTTTTGTATTTGTGTTTTTTTCCGTTGTTATAAAACGATACTAATAAAATCACAAATTTTCGGATTATCCGGACTTTCGATCGTCCGAACAAGTCCCGGTCCCTTCAAGTCCGGATAAACGGATTTCTACAATCTGATATTATCTTCAATTTAAAAAATTTAGGTCAAACAGTTATGTGTGTGGTGATTATTAACCGTTAGTCGATGATTATTCAGAAATCGTGAGATGCGGTCTGGTGTGATATAGGTTACAGAAAAACATTTTCTTTATCGTGCCAACGTTTCTATCTTTATTGAGCCCTGAAGATGATCTCAATAAAGATCGAAACGTTGGCACGATAAAGAAAATGTTTTTCTGAAACCTACATCACACCTCACGATTTCTGAGTAATCAAATAGTTAAGTAAATTGATTCGGGCAAAATTCTTATTTTTCTACTTAAACGTTTGATTCATTAGCTAAATTAATACGCAATAAATGTTGGTATTTGAAACCTTTGGAAAAATAAGCATACAAATGTTAGTATCTGTTGTAATATTAGTGTCTCGGTGTAGTGAGATTATTTTTTCTTATGTTTTATAAATGAAATTTTTTTGTCTTTTGTAAAAAAATGAAAGAGGTTTCGGCCACGTTAGCCAGAGATTTTATAACGCACACATTAATTATTACTAAGTGCTTTAATATTTATTCCTGCCAAACACTCAAATGTAGAATGTGTAGAATTAAAACGAGGAAGGTATCCGTTTAATGCATTTGTTTGGAACATTTTCCTAAGCTGGTTTAATAAATTACACTCAAGTTGAGAGATGTAAATAAAGGAATTGTCTACATAGTTCCAGGTTATAAATCTGACTCTCGTTCTGTTCCAAAGCCTTTCAATGGACATCCGGCTTAAACTACGAACCTGCATTTCATCACGCTTGTAGATTTCCCACTTGCTTTAACATAATGTTATCATCGCAACCAAACATCATTGTTTTGTTATCTTTACTTCTTTTCTATTACAAACTCGATTTAACTCATATTTTTTCTTTTAAACCCTTTGAGCTCGTTCTTTAAATTTTAATTCGCAGTTCATTATCTTTAGACTTCGATTTTTCTAGCGCTTACCTGGCGTACCGAAAAACAGACTAAGGCATCAGTTTTGAAAAAGAAATCAAATTAGCACTAACAATACTCTTTTATAAGAGTCTAATTAAGGGCCCGCTCATTTGCATCTCAATCTTCTCCATTGGGGTTAAGTGTATTACCACAAAGCTACTTTCGTTCCTTACGAAGTTCCACTCTCTTCCAGGCTGATAAAAGCAAAAATACAAAAGTTCTCGAACCCTTTTTAACAACGCTGACTCACAACTGGTATAATTAGTCCTTCATTGTTCGAATTAATGCTCAAAGTTGAGATAAAACGCTTTGATTTATTGTATATTTATAGCTAAACGATTTAACTTCAAATTAAACGTTTTCACAACCGCAAAATAAATATTTTAAAAAGCTAAAAATATAGAAAAGTTAATTAAATCTAAGATTTTATTTTAGTTTTTCATTCTATTCAATGGGTAGTTTATAATTTAAATGCAGTTGCACGGCTCACCTTCTATACTAAACCATCATGACTCTCAAGCCCTCACCACAGTTGATCTTGGCGCCGCGCTTTATAAAATTTTATTTCAAATTATATTTATTCCTATATAAATACAAATTTTTCGTATAAGTAATTGCATTACAACATATTATGCACCTCTAAGTTCTAGCAATAAAAACAAGTAAGCGACGAAATATCGTAATGAGGATATAAAAATGTTTTCAAGTATAATATGTGGACTTAAGAAATTTGTAATATCCAAATTACTATAACTGATCTTAAATTAATAAAATTGTAGAAACCGCTGAAAAATATACACCTAAAGACAAAACAACTGGATATTCATATTTTGTTGATTATTTCACAATGTATGTATTTTTAATCGCTATATTAATTACTTCATTCTTATTTTAATGAAAACAAAATTAAACGAGATCAGAAATTCATTTACAAATCTTAATTATGTCGCATATGTGTTCTGTAGGATTCCTATCAGCAGAATATACTGGCTTACATCCCCCAAGTATTGGGTGACAACTTGGGCTATATGCGATTAGTACTATCATGCATCAATGCGCAGTTGTCCCGAATAAATGGAGCTAATGGAACCACACATTACAGAAGAACGTCTGCAATGTGCCTTAGTGCAATTAAAGATCCTTTCTGTATAAGTAATTTGGTACGTAAAAGGACGTTAATTGAAAGCATTCCACACATGGTCCCTCTCAACTGATTGCCACAAACTAAACCGGCGTTTATCTGTGGACATGTGAATAAAACAGCCCGCCATTGTTGAAATGCCGAAGCGAACTTGGGAATAGTCGCCTTTCTATTCTATGCTCTTCCAGTAGTAGAGAAAGTGATGCGGGGGTCCAGAGACTCATGAAACGTTCCGATGACTGTTGTAAAGCACACCGTTACATGAGGGATCGTATGGAGTTGACCTATCAAGGAAGCCGTTAAACGTTCCGAAGAGCAAAAAACGACCGTCTCGAGCCGAAGTACATCGCGGTCGACCACTACCTTCTCTTTGATCGAGACTTCTGGTAGACCTTATGCTCTTGTAGACCGTGGATGGTAGAGCGCGGAACACCCAGACGTTTTTCCGTCTTTGGCCGAAGCAACTCCCCGGGTGAAACCTTCTCGAATAAAAGCCATACTTTTAAGAGAAAATATTAATTATAATTTTATTAACGTATAAATTTAAGAAAACAAAAGACACACACACAAACACCAATAACTCACTTGAAACGTTAGCTCTGGAAAGCTAACTGATTTTCTTTATTTTTAATCTAAACCGGATTAGCAACACTTTAAAGGTAAACAACAAGTAATTAATATTGCGTTTACGCTTTAAGTCAACTATTACGCGTTATACTCATTTATTATGGAAAATAAATACAACTGTCCGGTTTTTGTCTTTGAGTGTATTTTCAACGCTTGTGAATAACACTGTACTCACACCGGAATTCAAATGACTAATTTTATATAAAACTTTACTTCGAACTTTGAAAAGTTAGTCATAGCGTACTGAAACTTTCAAAATAATTATATTTAAATAAAGGGGGTGATAAGTATTTCTTGTAGAACAGGCGCAGTATGGAATTGTACATCTGCACCAAATCTGTGATTAGACCGTCTATTTTTGAGGAAAGTTGGGAAAAGATCTTCGAGATTCATATCGTATTACAACTTTCAAAATCGAACAAACAATCAATATTAAATTTGTATATGTGATTCTTGGATAGGGACTTTCTCCAACAAAAGAAAAAAAATGATTTGTTAAACGACAACATAATATATATATATACATGTAAGGTATTGGTTGAAATGAATAAGCTAGTGTAACTAGCGGGATTCGAACCCACGATCTTCGGCTAAATACGCCGCTATTCTACCACTTGAGCTTATCGTGACTTCGATCTTCTCGTACA